TTTTGGGTGGGGAGTGGGGTGGGGGGACAAAAGATCATATTAGTCTCAAGTCAGATCTACATTTGAGATGTACAATGACCTATAAACATATATGTTGCTGCATATGGGTCTTGGGCAAGTATGTGCTGTTTGTTTGGAAAGTTAACAAAAATTGCTGAAATGGGAAGAATTGGCAATACTGAATGTTAAATTACCTATAAGCCATAAGCTTATAATATGACCTAGGGATGTAAGTGACTCGTTGATTATCTGATAAACATATGCTTTTCAGATAGTCAACTAGTGACTGGACTTGTTGCTTCTCTCTTAGAGGCAGCAAGGTGGGGGGAGAAGCGATGAGTAAAGTCACTAGCTGACTATCCAATAATCATGTGTTTATCAGTCAACTAGTACTCTCAAAGAGAGGCAGCAAGAGCGGGGAGCAGGAGCCCGGGGATGGAAGGAGCTGACTTAAACTGGTGTCCCCTCCCCTCAGTATCATCTCTGTGATGGGGAGGAGCAGGGGAGGCAGAGGCGTAGTGGGGGACTGGGTGCAAACTGGGACAGCTGATTCCTTGCTTGTGCCTGGGTCCCCACCCCATGCTTCAGCCTTTTAAATATATTAAGAGCCTGGTGGCTCTTAATGCATTTAAAAGGTAGAGCTGCAGTGGGGCTACTTCCCGGGGCTAGTCGATCAGCAGATTAAATGTCATTTAACATCTCTAATATGACTTTTCAATCGTATCTGTTCAGCCTTTTATTTTCAGATAATGCTGAAACTCGATTATAAAATATAATTAATTTGAGACATACATGTTTTAAAGTAGCCCATTGCGGTTGAGTAGTTTTTACTAAGCAGGCAATGATAAGCTGCATGTTAAAGTTATAATTATGAGCTCTGAATACCTTCAAGAGGTGTTTCATAGAAATAGAATCCTAGAACACTGGAACTGGAGGGGACCTCGAGAGATCATTAAGTTCAGTGCCCTGCCCTTATGGCAGAACCCAGCATGGTCTCTAGCATCCCTGATGGATGTTGGTCTAACCTGCTCTTAAATATCTCCAGTGTTGGAGATTCTATAGCCTTCCTAGGGAGGCAACTTATTCCAGTGTTTAAGCACCCTGATGGTTGGGAAGTTGTTGTCGTCTTAATGTCCAACCTAAACCTGCCTTGCTGCAGTTTAAACTCATTGCTGCTTCTCCTATCAGCAGAGGCCAATTTCCCCCCCTCCTCCCTGTGACACCTTTAGATATCTAAAAACTGCTAACATGTCCCCTCTGTCGTCTTCTCTTTTCCAGACTAAACAAGCCTAATTCCTTTAGCCTTGCCTCATAGCTCCTATTTTCTAGACCCTTCATCATTTTTTGTTGCTCTTCTCTGGAACCCTTCTCCAATTTCTCCACATCTTCCTTGAAATGTAGTGCCCAGAACTTGTGTCCTCCAATAGAGGCCTAATCCATGCAGAGTAGGGTAGAAGAATGATTTCTTGTGTCTTGCTCACAACGTCCTGTTAATACTGGAGGAGTGGGGGTTCCAGCTGCATAGGGAGGGGGAAATATATTGGAGGATACATTTGAAAAACAAAGGAAAACAGAAGGTTAACTCTCTCATACAGTGAATGAAGCACTGTATAGCAAAAAGCTCATGTTTTATGTATAAAACTGAATTTTTAATTGATAACAGAGCACCTATGAGTAAGATTAACACACTGCAGAGCTGGGCAGCTGAATTTGTTTTCCAGGCAGGCATAATAAACAACACCTTAGGAGGGCTTGCTTCCTCTTTGAATACATGTGGGAAAGGGGGGCTTGCATTGTTCACACCCTCCTTGTTCACATGTCTGCAAAGGCAGGGGGCTGCATTTGTGTGGGGGCCCTCCTGCACTGCACAGTATGCTTTTAGACTGCATCCCACCTTGGCCACTTTGACCTGAATGGATGGGGTGGGGCAGTCCAGTGCAGCCAGCTGGGGTGGAAGAGTGACTAGTTAGTAGAGTTCTCTTCTCCCTTGCCCCCATGCAGCTTTGCTGTTGTCTGGGATAATCCCTTCAAGCCAATTGTAAACAGGGCAGCAAACCTGGGGACGTAATTTATTGGTGATGAGCAAATACAGGTGGATTGCTTCAGTGCTATCAGTTATACAACTTCCCCCACTTCACCGAGGCCATCATGTGCAATACCAGTTGTTTTCGAATCAGAGCATGACAGAGCATCATGCTGTATAAATGTGACCAGAAACCTGGACCTTGCTGCTGCAATGGTGCCAGATCACTGACTGCTGGCTTAGTGTGGTAAGGTGTCTTGCCGTGGAGGACAAAACAAGGCAGAAACCTGAGAGATTGCAGAGTATCTTGATAACTTTGGAGAGATGTGCAGGGAGGATTCACACTCCATCTCCAGGTATGTTGAAAAATGTTTCCAGGAAGCTCCTCCTATTTGGATGGATTGACTACCACTGTTTCCCAGTTGCTCAGTGCAGATTAAAGATTAAACCCAATTATGTGTAACTGTTGTAGTGTGATCACAAATGTGAATTTGAGAAGTGCCCTCCCCACCATCAAGATCTGGCAACAATGGACTATGGCTGTCAGTAACATCAGACTCGAGGCTTACTTAATGAGCGTTCTCCTCTATGATGTCCTCCTTGTTGTTACCAGAGGCTGCCTGAAGAATTGCTTGGGAGGTATTCATGGACAGTGATTTGGTTCCCTCCCCGTCATCCCCCCCACCCCCCAAATCCCATAGAAGCGACATGTTCGCTGCTCTTCTCTGGACTGACCATTTGCATTTTGTCTTCTGATACGCCTGCCTCAGCTCCTTTGTTCATGCAGGAATTCTGGGTGTCCTTGTTATATCCTTTTACAACCATGCCCTGTGCAATTTTGGCATAGATATCAGTGTTACTACTTTGGCTTTGGAGTTCTGCCTGTACAGATTGTTTTTCCCACACAGCAATCTGATATTGTAATCTCGTGAATGATTCCTGCTGGAGCTTGTTTGCGACCCTGGACATTCATGATCAAGTGTGCTTGTTTGCGACCCTGGACATTCATGATCAAGTGTGCTGCTCCATGCTGACCAATCAGGAAATGAAATTCAGAAGTTCCCTGTGAGTGCAGCTGAGTTGAAAGGGCTGGCTTGAGCTGTCACAGGGGGGCACTGTAGGACATGTTCTAGAGTCCAAGAACGTCAGCTTGAACAGTGCTGTGTCTGCACTACCCGAAATTTGACCCTGGAAGGTACTGTTTAGTGCTGCTCCTCTCGTCAAGGTAGAATACAGAAGTTGATTTTAAAAGCTCTAAAGGTTGGTGGAAGGGGCTTGGTGGTGTAAAAACATTCACTATGAAATCGACCTACTGTGGCTAACTTTGACCAAACCTCATAATGTAGACAAGGCCTCACTCCACTAAAAAAATTACTTTGTTCACCCCCCTGAGTGAGTAAATTATGCCAGTCTACACATTTTTCATGAGAAGCACTGGAACAACACAGCTGTAGTATAGACAGCCTGAGTTTCAAAGGTGCCAACTTCTGTTTTCTCCCCCTCCCCTGGCTAAGAGGAGGGAAGTGCTCAACCACAGAACCAATGCCTACCCAGCCTCTTCCTGACCCCTTCTCTGAGCATGCCAAATCCTCACTTCTCCTTCTCCTTGCTGGAGACTCTGAATGTAACAAATAGCTGTTTCATGGTGGTGCTGAGAGGAAGGGAGAGGAGTTAAGCCAAGCCACCAGTGGATGGGATTTTTTGGATCAGAAGGAGGGGCGAGCTTGCCTGCTGAGGCACTCCCTGATTTTTTCCTAGTGGGTGCTCCTGCTTTGGAGTAACCCATGGGGTCAGCATCTGTGGCTGGAGTAATATTGGGAAGTCACGTTTAGGGAATGGCTGTGTAACATGGTAGTGAGCCTCCCAGCCATAGATTCACAAATTCAGGCTAGTGGGGGTTGGGCTAGTCCTTTAAAAGTAGTTGTAGAAATAGTGCTTTGAAGTTGCAGCATGGGCTCTGAAGGCCAACTTTCCTTCCTAGGCTTCAGAGCCAGAACTGCAACTTTGAAGTGCTTTAGTGAATCTACCCTTTTGAGAGGTGATGGCTAGGTTGATGGAAGAATTCTTCTGTCAACATAGAAGTGGTTGTAATGGGGTTTAGGCTAGCTTAACTATCTCTTGGGTGAGTAAAAGTAATATCCCTGATTGGTGTAGCTAGTTTGTCCTAAGTTTTAGGTGTGGATCCCAGTCCTAAATCTCTAAATACAGAGTGTATGTCTGTACTCTTGATCTTCAGCTGTTTGCAGCTGGGGAATCCTAACATGTTGAGCCTATATACAAAGGAAGCAATCCTGAAGCCTGTTTAGGTCAATCTACTCCTCCCCTAAGCATTAGTAACTGTGACTCTGATTTTTGGCCAGGGACTGGAGAGAATAATGGGCTCAGAAGATGAGGGAGCCCTGGTCTATATCCTACAAACTTACATGGATATAACTACATTGATCGGGTGTGGAAAATACAGGTCTAGCTTCCAGTGTACATAATGCTGTGACTCAGTGGGTTTCACCAATTGACATAGCTACTGATTTTGGGAGAGATGGAGTACTTGTGCCAAAAGGTGAAGCTTTCCTTTCAGCATAGGTAGTGTCTTCATAGATGCTACAACAGCACAGCTTCATTTGTGCAGCTGTGCTGCCACAGTGCTATAAATGTAGATATGCCGTAATTTTAGCGACTCTGTCTAGAGAGCAACTGTACAGCATAAATGACTGAATCCAGTAAGAGGCTATAGTAATAGAATGCCTTTGTATTTATATTGTGCCTTTTTAAAAACAAACAATATGGAGATGAATGATAGTTGGGTGGAACAAACTGTTAGCTAGAGAATGCCTCTGAGTGGACTGAGTCCCTTCTTATCCCAGAATCTTACTAATGTGCGAGAATCAACTGCCTGTCACATTTTTCAGCATGCTATCTTGTCTGTGTTTAAACCTTTTTCCTATAGGCTTTTATATATGATCTTTTTTTTTTAAACTAGGATCGGAAGCTATCAAAGTCAGAACGGCAGAGGTTTAAAGAGGAAGCTGAAATGCTAAAAGGGCTCCAGCATCCTAATATTGTTCGGTTCTATGATTCCTGGGAGTCTACAGTGAAAGGAAAGAAATTTATCGTTCTTGTGACGGAACTCATGACATCTGGAACCTTAAAAACGTAAGTGAGCTAAGGTATATGAGGGGGTGTGTGAATGATTAATGTGAGATCAGAAAGTTGAAATAAAATGGAAACAAGTATTTCTTTCAAAATATCTAAGGCTAAAGTCCCATTGGTAGAAGTGAGGAAAATTAAGGCTTTCTTTGTCTATATTTAAAAAAAAAAAAAATCCTGCGGGATGACAGTGACATCATGATGTTACTCTGCGTCCCACAACCTCTCCTCCCTTCTTCTCTTCTCCCTGCTGCTAACCCAGCACAGGGATCAGCAACCCATGGCTCCCAAACAGCAGCACTGAAGGTAAGCTGCTACTGCTGGTGGTGGGCTTTTGGCTGGGAGGAAGAAAACTGTGGGAGCTGGGAGGGCCCTGGCAGAGAGGCCTGCTGTGGGGGGTGGGAGAGGGCAGCTGGAGCTCCGGGGATGGAGCAGGAAAAACAAGGGTCCATGCTGATATTTTTTTTTTTTTAATTAACTGTTGTTGGGTCTTTTTCCTCAACAACTTTGATCTTCCCCTCAACAGAATTTTCTTGGAGTGGGGGGGGGTGTTTGGTATTTTTGGTTAAACCATTTGGTAACCCTACTAGTAATCTTTAAAGTTACTGGTCAAATTAAATGCTACTAGTACCATAATTAGAGTAATGGCCAGAGCAGGCATGTTCTAGCCCCATTATGCTGACTGTGGAGCTGGTGAAGGCTCCTGAGCCTTTCTAAATTGCCCTGGAGTGGCAGGTGGGCTATGGGGATTCACTGGTAGGGGAGTGAATAGGGGGCAGGCGGATCCAGGGGGACACCTGGCCCTGAGCTTGCTGGAGCTGGGCCCTTGCTCCAGGAATATTCCTGGAGCCAGGACACCATGGGCCTATGTTATTCACCAATCCTGTGTACAGGAAGAAAAAGTTAATTGTTTTGGTGGGTTTACTTTTAATTTCAAGGATTAACGGTAAGATCACTGTTTGTATTGCTTTGTTTCTCTTCCCTTTCCCCTTGTCTTAAACTGAAGCTGGGCTTTTCCCCTTGTTACTTTTTTAATATCCACTACCTCCCATTTTTTCCTTCTCTTCTCACCCCTTCCCCTTCCTTCTCCCCTATTTATTTTAATTTTGGACATCCAACACTCTCTGGTCATCTGAAGAAGTGGGCTGTGCCCACAGAAGCTCATGATACTATCTGCATGTTCTGTTAGTCTTTAAAGTGCTACCAGCCTATTTGTTTAAGTTTATCCTGTACAGACTAACTTGGCTACCCCCTGAAACTTAATGTAGTGTACTTATAGTTGTGTTGATTCCAGGATATTAGACACACAAGGTGGGTGAGTAATATCTTTTATTGGACCAACTTCTTTTGCCAAGAGACATGCTTTTGAACATGAACAGAACTTTTCAAGTTTTCCAGACTTAAATAAGAGCTCTATATAAGCTCGAAAGCTTGTGTGTCTGTCTGTGTCTGTCTCAATAGAAGTTTTACCCCAAAAAAATATTGCCTCACCCATCTTGTCACAAGCTTAAAACTCCTTAAGACAGGGTCTGCCTTTTTGCTCAATGCTTAGCATAGTTGGGTCCTGATAATTGCTTTGGGTGATGCTACAAGACAAATAATACACAGAAGTAAGAAAAGCTATTGGAAAAGCTTTTTATTTAATGGAAATTCAATGAGGAATTTTTAAAATTTCTGAAAATGAACTTGGGACTGTAAGAGCTCTCTGTGAAACTAAATCTGTTAAGCCTTAATTAAAGTGAACATTAGAAAATTAAGTTGTAAGAGAGCCCTCTAGTGGTAAGTACAAACTTAGAGAACATACTCAATGCAGCCATGCAACTTCCTTTAAACTTAGACTAGAGACAGTTATGGGATGTTCATTGAATATATGCATAGCTCCTGCCTATTTGGAACTGGAATTCCTTAAAATTGTGGGTTTTTTTGGATGAGTGAGTAATGAATTATTGAATGTCTTCATTAATTGTCGTTTAAGCCTTTAACAGGGCTCGAATTGTAGTGAATAAATAAGCAGCTTGTAGAAACTGGAAAAAGTCACCTGTAAATGAGTCCATAATCTATTGTCAAAATACCTTGACTGCTTGTTTTTTGAGACTTACTAATGGCCACAGAGCAGCTCCCCATGCAGACCAGTTGTCTGCTGCCCCTTGCTGCTGTCTCTGTATCAGAGGCGGCACCACATAGGGATGGGGGAGAGGGAAACCATCTTTTAAGCAGGCTCTTCCTAGCACTGGCTGCCCCTCCAGCTGCCTCTGTAGGACACAGCTAGGGGCGGGGAGGCAGGTCTGCAAAGCTGCAATGCGCGGAGAGCCAAAAGCCATCTCCCTGTGCATATGGGCTGCATCCAGCCTGCCCCACAGATCCTCCGCACAGTAGTGTGGGGGTGGAGGGAGAGGCAGATCTGGTGCTCATGGGAAGCCTACTTAAAGCCAGCTTCTCATGGGCACTGGCTCCTGCTCCCGGGCCCTTGCTGCCTCTGATACAGAAGCAACAAATGGGGCAGAGGGGAATGCATGTAGTCGATAAGATTAACCAATAAGCCAAAGTTTATTGATTATTCATGTACAGCTGGTCCCCGAATTACAAATGCATCGACTTACGACTGTTTGTATTTACGACCAACCTCCTATACAGCTGGAACCCGAGTTACGAACGAAATCCATACTTACGAACAGTGTGGCCGTACGTTAGTGAGGGTATGTCTACACTAACCCCCTAGTTCGAACTAGGAAGGCTAATGTAGGCATTCAAAGTTGCAAATGAAGCCCGGGATTTAAATATCCCGGGCTTTATTTGCATCTTCCCGTCCGGGCGCCATTTTTAAATCCCCTTAGTCCGAACTAACTGCCCGCGGCTATACGCGGCAGTCAAATGTTAACTCGAACTAAGTCCTTAGTTCGAGTTAACTATTCCACGAGGTGTAACAGTTAACTCAGTAAATTTTGTCTGATTTATATTACAGCAGTGTCTCAAATGACTTGAACCTTTTTGTGAGAAATACAGCTCAAGTATCTTTACATAATACTGTGGATATGAATCCACGTTTCAAGTGTGTTAAAGAATTTTGTTCATTCTACTTGTTTTTGGTATTGGAATTGGAGAATAAAGTTCTACTGCTAGGTTTAGTTCAAATTAGAGGCTTTCTCAGCTGGCTTGGAAGAGTTTTGGCAGTTGAGGAATTGTGGGAGGCAGGTAAGACTGGGGAAAATTAGTTGGCTGTTGCACTAAAACAATAAATAGTTAACAGTGACATTTAAAGATGACTTAGGCTGCAGACCTAATCAGTTTTGCTGAATGGGTCAGTTAGCATTTTTCATTTCAGTATGACCCTAGCTATGAGGGAGGGGTATTCACCAATTTTACAACTTTATGCTACCACCCATGATTGTAGTGTCTTCCACACTACTTTGCCATAGCAAGTTGTCTGGTCTTTGTAATCTTCTGCTACATTCCTTTATTCAAATGTGCAAAAGTCTCCTTTTCTGTAGGGCTGTACTCTGCTTTTTTTGAGGGGCGGGGAACCTAACTACAGTAAAACTCTGATGGTCCGGCACTCCTGATGGTCTGGAACCATCAGGAACCCAGAAGTGCTCCGGGCAGCTGGACCATTGGAGCTGCTCTGCCCCCAGCTTCCCCCGTTCAGCCGCTGCTAAAACTGACCAGCGGCTGAATCGGGCAAGCCGGGGGCAGAGCAGCTGGAGTGCTGTTGGGTAGGTCCCGTAGCGCCACCCCTCGTTGCTCTGTCCCAGGTGTACCCAAGTCAGCTGCTGCTGAAACTGACCAGCAGCTGATTCCAGGAAGCTGGGGCAGAGCAGCTCTGCCTCTGGCTTCCTGGAGTCAGCTGCTGATCAGTATCAGCAGCGGCTGACTTGGGGACACCTGGGGCAGAGCAGCTGGTGTGCTGCCGGATTGGTCCAGTAGCGCCAAGGGTCAGCACTCCAGCTGCTCTGCATCCCTCCCACCCCAGACCCCCCCCTTCTGATAGTCCAGCAATAGCTGATAATCTGGTACCCCCTGGGTCCTAAAGGTGCTGGATTATTGGAAGTTTACTGTATTTTGATTTTTTTTTCTTTAAGTTAATAACACAGCAAGAATAATGTATTGTAGAATGTTATAGTTTACGTTTTATTACTTCTCTTAGGCTTTAAATCAGGGGTGGGCCGGATCCGGGCCTCTGTGGGGCGGATCCGGCTTGCTGAGGCCCTGCTGCTCCCCTGCCCCCAGGCCAATTAAGGCCTGAGGGCAGGGGAGTGCCGGATGCCTTCTCTGCTCTGCCCCGGGCACTGCTCACAGGGTCGGGGCAGAGCGGAGAAGGCTTCGTGTGCTCCCCCAGGCCCTGATTGACCTGGGATGGGGGAGCATGTGAAGCCTCCTCTGCTCTCCCCCCTCGTTCCTGCGAGGAGCGTGCAGTGCTACAAAGCGCCTTGTGCTCCTAGTAGGGTGGGGGAGGAGGCTTTGTGCGCTCCCCTGCCCCCAGGCCCATGTGGGCCTGGGGGCGGGGGAACTGCGTGAAGCTTACTTTGCCTGGCCCTGTGAGGAACCTGTGGCATTTCTAAGTGCCATGTGCTCCTTGCAGGCTGGGAGGAGGCTTCCTGTGCTCCCCTGCCCCAGGCCACTGATCATGGCCTGGGGGTAGGATAGCTCCGTTCCTTCCTGTTTAGGCTCTGCCCCTTCCCGGGATGGCCCAGGGCTACTTCAAAAGATTTTTTGAAGTGGCCTCTGGGAAAAATTATTGCCCACCCCTGCCTTAAATCCTGCTAACCATCTGGCTGTCTGAATCCTAACGAACATTAGAGTCTGTAACTAAAATAAAACAAATTACCATATCTGACTCCTATGTCAGACAAGGTAGTCTGATGGTTCTCTTTTTATACAAAATATAATTGTTAAAAGAAAAACAAAGTATTTTGCTTTATGCCAGGAGTGGCGAACCTCAGGCCTGGGGGCTGGATGTGGCCCTTGGCTTGCCTGGATCTAGCACCTGAGGCTCAGCCTTAGGGAGCCTT